TCATAAATCATGGTGAAGTTTGAAAATCAATGATCTTGTTCAACTTTCTTCCACATCCTTACCACATATACTTATAGTTAAGGACCTTAAGATTCAGAGAGGTTAGATGACTCCTTAGTTACTGCCTGGGCAAAAAGTAAAACCCAGACCTTTTCATTTGTAGTTAAATTGTAAATCTTTTCCATTACATTTTTCCTCTACCAATTCTACCCAATAGTCAGTCAATTTTTATCCAATTATATAAAATTCTTGCGTTAACTAACGATAGCCAAGGTTTCTGTGGTATGTATGCATGCATTTGTGCATGTGTGTACGTGTTTCTGTAATATCATACAGATCCCCCAAAGTGCTTCCATGGCTCTCCTTTAACTGTACTTTTCTGTCTGTTGGGAACATCTTCTGTCCTCTTGCTCATCTAGCAAACTTCTTGCAATTCATTTTTTTAACCATTTGATTAAAATTAGTTTTAATTTACATAATATTCACCCAATTTAAGTGTACAATTGAATGATTTTTAGTAAATTTACCAAGCTGTGCAACCATCATTGTACCCAGTTTTAGAACATTTTCATTACCCCAATAAGACCCCTTATGTCTACTTACAGTTACTCCCTTTCACTCCCAGCCCTAGGCAACCACTAATTACTTCCTGTCTCTATAAATCTGCCTTTTGGGGACATTTCATATAAACGGAATCATATAATATGTAGTCTTCTGTGTGTGGCTTCTTTCACATAACATATATGTACTTAACATCTATGTCATAACTACTGACTCCTCACAAGACAATAGTAGAGACTTTAGGGCAACATCCGTACCCTCAAGAGTCTAGGAGTCAGATAAACCTAATCATATGCTTCTACATAATCAATTCTATGATTAATCATGGTCCTGAAAGCAAAGAGAGACTTGCACAGGGTTCTTAGTGACAGTAGGTAACTCCTCTGGCAATGGTTAAGTAAATAGAACCAACCAAAACAGAAAGCCAATCAAGCAATGGTAATAGAACAGTTTAGCCCCACAGACAAGTCTTTCAGGGTAAGGATCATCATAACTGGTAGTGGAGACGGTGGGAGAGGATCCATTAGCATATAGAGCCCATTTCCTAGGATTATCAGTAAGGGAGAAATGGCTCTCTATATCTCTCCAAATCTCAATTTTCTTATTAGAAACTGCTCTTACAGGTCCACTTCTTTGATCTTCTCTTATGCTCCACCTGCTCTATGCAGTGCAAGCCACCATCATCTCTCCTGTATGTAATTAGCCTCCTAATTGATTTCCTCAATTCCAATCTTTCCTGGCAGTTATTCAATCTCCACATATCAGCCAGAGATATCTTTTTAAAAATTTATCAGATTAAGTATTTCTACTGCTTAAACCCCTCCAATGGCAATATATGTCACTTAGAGTAAAATCCAAACTCCTAATGTTGAATTAGAGAGCCCAGTGATCTAGCCCCTACCCACCTATCCAACCTCAGATCACTCTTCCCCTTGCCTGCTGCAGTCCAATAGCCTTTCTTTGGTTCCTTTAACAAGCCAAGCTCAATCTCACTTTAAGGCCTTTGTACTAACTGTTCCCTCTGACTGGCATACGCTAGTCCTTTCTTTATTCATATCTAACCTTAAATGTCAACTGCTTAGAGATACCTCCCCCAATCTCAGTAGCAACCTAGTCACTCTCTAACATATCAGTCTATTTGAATGTTTTATACTTCCCACTATACTTCCCACTATAAGTACAATTATCTTTTTATTTGTACTGTCTCTCCTTCCTACTAAAATAGAAGCTCTTTGAGAGCAGGGATATTGTTGGTCGAGTTTATCACTGTATCCAAAAATATTCAGTAAGCAAACAATAAGTAGGTAAATAGTCTTTGTTGAATGAATGGACCACTGTTCCCCTTATAGATGTCTAATATGGAAGCCTCTAATAAACTTGTCATTTTACAAGGAAAATTTTCATAATGAATATGGTGTGGCAATAAATTTTAATTTATGGTATGCCTGTAACAGAATGCGTATCAGCTGGCTAAATGTGTGTGTGTGTGTATGTATATATGTGTGTGTGTGTATATATATATATGTGTGTATATATGAAGTATTAGATGGTTATGCAACTATTTATCATTCATTAATACTGATAAACAAGAATCTTCTGTTGGCTAATATACTATAATACAAAGTTAATTAAAAATACTCAATGGTTGATTCTGAAGTCTCCATGCTGTTTCTTTAGAAAACAACAAAAACACCATAGTACAAAAGCATCGATAAATTGATAGTTTAAAAGTTTGTGACCATTTCTAGGTTAGGAATTTCATATTGCTAAGGCAAAGAGGTTAGAAAGCATATACTACTCCTGTCTGTCACAGCATCTAAAGTAGTACTTCTGTTCAGCAATTCGATGGCTGCTTTTGAACTCATGGGAAAGCTCTTTCACAGAGATGACAGAATGCCTTTCAAAAGTAGTGCCCATTTCCCTTTTTAAAAATTGTGCAAGAGGGCATGGCAAGATAATCTGCTAACATTCTACATTTAGCAAGTGTGTTCTGAAAATTAAAATCTAGTCTTCCAATCCTGCCATGCTAAAAGAAAGATACCACAGTTCTTTCACTTTCTAAGTTTTTTATGTGTCTAAGTTTGTGCTTCTCAAAGTGTGGTACCTGTATCAGCAGCTTCAGCATCACCTGAAAATTTGTTAGAAATGTAAATTCTCAGACCCATCCTAGATCTACTATCTCAGAAACTCTAAGGGTAAGGCCCAGCAATCTGTCTTCCAAGCCCTCCAGGTGATTTTGATGAATGCTACAGTCTGAGAATCACTAGTATAGATTTTGTTTCTTCCATAAATATTAGACCAAATAGTAAAGAGAAAAAGGTCAGCTATTACAAGGAAAGGGACTTTGCAAAAGTGTTTGCCTTATACAGGATATCTATACACTTATTTTATAATTTAAGTGTGCTATGCATATAACTATTTTTAAATGCCTTTTACATTAGCAAACTATACAAAATGAATTAATAATTACTTCTTTCTCTTGGAATATGATGAATTTGGGTGGTAGAAATATACTTTCATAGAAGTTTCATCAAGACATAAGATAGAACCTAGAAAGGTACTTCCTGTTTTTCACACTGGTAAGTCATTTCATATCTAGATTAGATAATAAAACTAAGGGGAAAAATGATTTGTGGCTGCTTAGAGAAATCCCATATATAATGGTGAGAAAGTTAAATCTTTTGAAAAATATATTAAATATAGATGTAACCTTAGGAGCTTATATGGAGACTGCCAACTCTCACAGTAGATTCCCTCTCAAATACCTTCATCCATTTTAGATACAAGAAAAATTACACTTTATCTATCTATCAGGGTGGAGGATCAGAAGGATAGGGTCACCCAGGTTTAGTTCTAGCCAGTCTATGTAACAGATTTACATGGGATGTGTTTTATATTTATGCTTAAAAGAAAAGCAAAACAATTTTAAATAAAAATAGGTAAAATTTAGAGCAAAATAGGATGAAGAAAGGGCTAGTTAATTTTCCTCACAAGACATAAAACTATGTGAAATATGAAAAGGATGTATGTTCCATTACCTTAAGGTCTATACAGCTTTATCTATCACATGATAATTTATTCCCCTCTTTTTTCCTTCCTTCTAGCAATAATCAATTCTTAAAAGGTAGCATCGTCTAAAGCAAAGATTACTAGACTAAGAATCAAGAGTTTTAACTCCATTTTTGCTACTACCTATCCAAATGACCTTGGGGACACTTTTTTGGAATCACTTTCTCCATCCCTAGCATTCCTTATAGCACTAACATTTTATAGTGTTATGAACAGCATTCAACTTACTCCAACACAGAAATGCTCAGAAGGGTTTTAAACTATAAAAAAAGACTTGAACTGGCAAATTTTAAGTATGCATATTAGACAAAAAAATTACAAAATTCTACGCCGATTTAAACATAATAACCAAGACCAAGTGGTGAATACTGAAAGGTGAATCATTTATACTTTTTCTCTGGTCTTTACAATCACAGGCAATATTGTGAGATGACTAGCCAGTATTAGTCAATTAAACTGAGCTGTTCTTCCCAGGTCAACGAGAAAATATAGACTCCTCTAAAGCTATATACATAGCATTGATGCCTGATGCTCATGTATCTTCTTGTACGTATCTATTTTTAAATTATGCATTTCAGGAAGACTACACTAGCGAATATTTTATTTCACAGATTCTAAGATGCATATTATATTCATATTTTAATATGTCTGAAATAGGAATGTGTCTTAACAACCACTGAAATCTTAAAACCACTGTTGGCCATGCAGCAGTCATAGCTGTCATGGATTATGCATGTGTGAACATCAGAACACAAACATCAAACTTAGCAAATGAACATCCGCAGCTTGGAAGAAAATCTTGGAAACAAGTATGGAACACTCTTTTAACTCCTCAGAACCAAGATCATTGTAGATAAAAATAACTAAATTTACACATCAATAATTGCAAAGCTGGCTTAAAAGTCTAACATCACTTTACTGATTTTTTTAAGAAATGCAGAATCACAGTGCTCTTTATGGCACAGAAAACAATACTGTGTGGAAAAACATGACCTCAATGATGCTGAGTAAATCATTTGGAATAACGTAAAAAGGTTTTAGGAATATTTAACCGACTTAATTAGCTTATATTTTCCTTTTATGTATATAAAAGTTGGATATAAGATTAAAATCATTCTCTAGCTAAATCTAAATGGCCTATTCCAATTAAGAGGAAAAACCCCTAAGGCACAGGAAAATCTAGTATAAAAAATTAGTATAAAAAATTAAATATACTAAGTAGTCTAGTATCAAACAATAGTATGTTTTCTAATTCATGAAATACAATATTTCTCTTCAAGTAGAAGCAAACAAAAAAAATATATAATAAAATCTACATGCAATTTGTAGAAAAATAAAACAGTTTTGCTTAATTCCATTAAAAAATTTACCTGCAGACCACAGCAGCCTACAGCATTCATTATGGAAGCATTGTGAATAACACGGTAAGGGATTCCCAGCTTTGTTGCTCTCAGAACAAGATCACTGTGTGTTGTAGCCCTGCAGGGAGAAAAGAACAGGTTGGATTAAAGGAAACAACACTGACTTTTTAATACAGTGAAGCCATAGTATTCCATGCGTTCAAGTGAATCAAAGAGTCAAGAGTACTGTGTTTTTTCAGATTCTCCCAGATGCCTGCATAAGGCTTTCACCTGAGCTTTTTAGCAAGAAAGTGTTAACAGTACACATGCCCTTCACAATGTTGAACTGCAACTACAACACTCTTAAAGCAGCCTTGGCAGCTACTGAAAAAAAGGGACATTGACTTGCTCATTGTCCTATTAATATCTGAAAAATACATCTGGGGAATATGAGCTCAGCAACTTAACTCAAGCAACAATTCTTAAACTCTTTGGTTTGGTCTCAGGGCCCTATTTAATTCTTAAAATTACTGCTCTAGAGTTCTAAATTATGAAACAACTAAACCTTACTTGTCTATTTCTGCTATAGTCTGAAAGCTTTTTGTATTTTGAAATATAAGACAGAATATACAGACACACCTCAGAGATGTTGCAGGTTCAGTTCCAAACCACCACAATAAAGCCAATATCAAAATAAAGCAAATATCAAAATAAAGCAAGTTACACTAATTTTTTGGTTTCCCAGTGCATTTAAAGTTATATTTATACCACACTGTAGCTTAGTAAAGGTATAACAGTATCAAGTCTAAACAGACAATGTGTATTCCTTCATTCAAAAATATTTTATTGCTACTTTCCAGGGATTAGGGGGATTTGGGGTGGGAGGTAAACCCACAACTAAAGGACATGGGGAGCACTGTAGGGGGGAAGGGCATGCCTTTAACCAACACTTGGGTGAGGCAAAGACATAAAGTGTAACCATAATGTTTGTACCCTCATAATACCCTGAAATTAAAAAAAAAAATACTTTATTGCTAAAAAATGCTGATGATCATCTGAGCCTTTAGTTAGTCATCTGAGCCTTGAGTTAGTCACAATATTTTTGCTGCTAGAGAGCCTTGCCTCCATGCTGATGGCTGCTGACTGGTCAGGGTGGCAGTTGCCAAAGGTTGGAGTATTGGAGTAGTTGCCAATTTCTGTCTTTTCTTTTTTTTTTTTTTAGAAGGAGTCTTGCTGTTTCCCAGGCTAGACTCAAGCTTTTGGGCTCAAGCAATCCTCCCACCTAAGCCTCTCAAGTATTTTTCTTAAACTAAAGTAATAATGAAGTTTGCTGCGTCACCTAACTCTTCCTTTCATGAAAGACTTTTTTGTAGCACCCAATGCTGTAAAATGACAGCATTTTACCCATGCAACTTCTTTCAAAATTGGAGTTGAGCCTCTCAAACCCTGCCACTGCTTTATCAACTAAGTTTATGGACTATTCTAAATCGTTAGTTGTCATTTCAACAATGTCCACAGCATCCTTACCAGGAATAGATTCCATCTCGAGAAACCATTTTCTTTGCTCATCCATAAGGAGCAAATCCTTGTCTGTCAAGTTTTATCATGAGATTGCAGCAATTCATCCACATCTTTAGGTTCCACTTCTAATTCTAGTCCTCTTGCCATTTCCACCACATCTGCAGTTACTTCCTCTACCGAAGTCTTAAATCCCTCAAAGTCATCCATGAGGGCTGGAATCAACGTCTTCCCAACTCCTGTTAATGTTAATATTTTGACCTCCTCCCATGAATCACAAATCTTCTTAATGGTATCTAGAATGGTGGATCCTTTCCAGAATGTTTTCAACTTGTTTTTGTCCAGATCCATTAGAAGAATCACTATCTATGGCAGCTATAGCTTCACAAAATGTATTTCTTAAATAATAAGACTTGAAGGTCAAAATTACCCCTTGATCCCTGGGCCACAAAATGGATGTTGTGTTAGCAAGCATAAAAGCAATTAATCTTGCACTCTCCATCAATGCTCTTGGGTGACTAGGTATATTGTTAATGCACAGTAATATTTTGAAAGGAATCTTTTTTTCCTGAGTAATACATCTCAACAGTGGGCTTAAAATATTCAATAAACCATGCTATAAATAAATGTCCTGTTATCCGCGCTTTGTTGTTCCACTTATAAAGCACAGGCAGAGCAGACTTTGCATAATTCTTTAGTGTCCTAGGATTTTTTTTTTTTTTATTT